GCAGGAAAAAATGACCTCCAGAGAAACGTCCAGGAGAAATGACCTTCCAGTCCTACTTTTCTATGATTGTGCGGTTCCATCTACCACTACCTCATTTGTGCACGAGGTTGGGCTACATGATTTTTCAGGTTCTTTCTACTTCTTTCATCCTTACGTGTGATTCTCTCTCTTCCTGCCTCCTTCCCTCAGACCCAGTGCCTATCTATCTATCTATCTATCTACACACACACACTCACATACACCCCAAAGGCAAACAAGAGCCTTGTAGGATGCAGGCAGCAGTAGAAGGTGCAGACTTCTGGGGGATTGTGCTGTGGGTGCAGGGCAGATGTGGGAGCACAGCCTTTGCTTTGCATGCCTCTTGTGAGTGCATTAGATGAATAGCTACAGGTAAGACAGGTGAGGTTTATAAAGGCCTCCTTTGAAGAGTCAAAACTCGTGGCAGAGGTGATCTCTGTTATTAGAGCAACTAGATATTTGCAAAAAAAAGTCTTTATTTGCAAGCTTTGCATCCTTTGAAGAGTGTCATTGCTGGATCGGATCGGGAGGGGGGCGGTGGGGGAAGCGTTGGCAGGCGGCTTGTGCTGGGCAACGTGAGGGCATCACCCTTAGCAGGGCAGCCAGCTGCTCCTGCCCCCGGGTCTGGCAGGCGGGGGTGGGGGTGTTGCTCAGGCGAAGCGCATATATATTTATATGTGCATATGTATGTATGTGTGTATAGAAGTGTGCATATGTGCGTGTGTTTATATACGTGTGTGGGTAATATGTGTGTGTGTATATATATGTATGCCAAGTATGTGCGTGCGTGTTGTGCTTGCAGGCAGGGTGATACCCGGGTGCACGGACACACACGTTCAGACACATTCCTGACGTGCGGTCAAATTCTTCACATAAGCATCTATAGGGCGCTGGGATGCTTACATCGGGGCTGCGTAAAGCAGATGCACTCTCTCTCAGCCTGTATATACCCGTGTGTGGCCATATACCCCTCTACACACACATGCCACATACATGCATGTATGTATGCGGACACATACCTGCAGCTGTATCTCTACCTGAGCCTGAGTCCATCTGTCTCCCCCCACCCATGCCGGTGCAGATCCTACCTGCAGGGCTGCTGTCACACCTGCCCCGCTCCCTGCCCGGCTCTCCCCACCCCGCAGCCACCCCCATGCTGCTCCGCTTCCCCAGAGCCGGCGGGCCAGCCTCTGCTTCAACTCCTTGCTCCGCTGGACTTGACAACTTTCTCCCTTTCCTGGCGCTTGAAGCGAGTGGAGGGTTGGCATTAGGATGCGTATTCTTGCCAGGCAATTCGTACCCCTGACTTGCTTGCTTGCTTTCTGCCTCCTTTTCTTTCTATCCTTCTTTCTCTCTCTTTTGCTTTTTTCTCTCTTTATTGAAATGAATCCAAACAGTTTTGGAGAGCTCCTGGACAACATCCAGATGTGCCTGGGGGCTTTTAGCGGGAGCGGACAAATCAAAGCCACCCGCGACCTGCCCAGAACAAAGCACCCAGCCCCTTCGGAAACCCTCAGCCCCGGTAACCACCTCTGCAATTCTCTAAAAATAATAGTGATGGTGATGGAGACAAGCCCCAAGTGCTTTTAGAGAAGGGAAATGTCTCATACAAAAGAAAATGAAATGAAATACCTGAAGATCAGAAATGCATTAAAATAAACAAACAACAACACAGCCTCTGAAAATACAACCGCACTTTAAATTAAATCAAGGCAAGGGAAATGGAGAGAATTATACTGCAGGATGTTAATCCCAACTGAAATAGACATCTGATTTCCCCTCCCCTCTAGTTTTTGATCCATATAAATCAAGATTTCCCCTGTATAAATAATGAGGAAAAGTCCATTTTAAATCTGTTTTATTGACTCTTCACAGACAGAAGCGCTTAGGAATAATAATAATTATAATAGCAATAGTAATGATAACGGTAATGGTAATGATCAGGATGATAACAATGATGATGATGATCATAAGGTTCTTGTTTAGTTTTGTTTGATTTTATAGTGGTTTTTGGACAGTATTTAAACAATAGCGTTTCTTTCCTCACCTCGGGAAAGGTTGTGCTGATTTTATTTGGAAATTTGTGGCTTTTTTTTTAAAAGAATAAATACAGAGGCTAAAAGAACCCAAACACACAAATTAAAATACCGCTAACAAAAAAATCCACAGATGCATCAATTGCAAATATATTTAAGATTGATCTCAGTTCCACGGCAAAAAACTCACCAAGCCTTCCCGTCCGGTTTTGAACATCACAAACCACATCGAGGGGTACATACATACATATATATATATATCTTTTTTTATCTTTTTTTTTTTTTTTTGGTCTCTAATGCACTCTACTCCTACGGAATAAACATTTAGGAAATCTCAGTGAGTCACGTGCCTCCGGTAAGGTCTGGGGGAGAAAAAAGGGGGCAACAAAGGGCAGAAGTAGGGGCTACCTCCACCTTTCTTCCCCCCCACCCCAGCCTAAATCTCGAAAGCATTCACAAGTCAAGAGAGCTCCAAGTCACACACACATCTCGAGGTCTACAGCACGGCTCCAAGGACACTGGGTAAGGACAGGTGACCCGCTGGCTCACCTGGCGTCTCTCCGATCTGGCGATGGGGACCGGTCTTGGTGGCAGGTGCCTCCTCCCCCGGGTGCCCACCCGCGGGCCTGGGCACTCACCGCCCGGGGCAGTGGGAGGGGAGGGCGGAAGGGAGCTGTCCAGCAGAGCAACCTCCTGAAATGGGCATCCCCGCGGGCTGGGGCGAGGCTGAGATGAATAGATGCTCTGATTTCAAAACCAAGGGGCATTTGAGTCCATCGACTGGGCTTTTCGTTGTATAAAAAAGAACAAACCAACACAGCTTTCAAAACAAAAAAGGCAGCGTTGAAAAAGAGAGTAGAAATAAAACCCCCCATTTAAAATACCACCCCCCTCTCCCTTGTATTCAAAGAGTGTATTAAAAAAGGTCGGGTTTTGATGCGTGTCTAGTTGTTACAAAAAAGCCAATTTACTTCCTGCTGTTTGGGGAAGACCTGATCCCACTCGGGAGCATCGGGTCTCAGCTCTGTCGGGTTTTTGCCCCCTCCCCAACTCACTAGGCTTTTGGCTGAGGTCTCCTTGGAAGGATGTCTCTGATGTGCCAGTCCTGGGTCAGGTCCCACCGAGCCGCGGGTACGGGACTCTATGTTACAATGCACGGGCTGGGGCAAGGGCTGGGGACGGTGGACTGGGCTGGGCTCAGCGGGCTGGCTGCCGATAGTTCCCATTGATCTCCTGGGAGATGTTCACAGCCTCAGCACCCAGTGGCAGCTTGTCGCTGTATTCGGAGCCCACCTCGAACTCCTCCTGGTTGGCTTTGGATTGGGATTCAGGGAGGGACGTGGCCACCAGACTCCCATCTGGCTCCAGCTCCCTCTCCCCACCTTCCACCTCTCTTTCTTCCTCCTCCTCTTCCTCTTCCTCTGCCTCTCCCTCCCCAGCCTCACTGGAATTGTAGTTCTTCTCGGATTCCAGGTAGGAAGCACGGGGGTCAAAGTCGGCCGCCATGTGCTTCTCCATCTGGTCCGGGTTCTGGGGCTTCATGATGAGCTTGTAGGTCTTCCCTTGGTACTTGGAGAGCAGGTGGCAGAAGGTGGCACCCAGGAGTGGCAGGGTGGCCAGGGCCAGCAGGAAAATGCTGACCACCACAATAATGATGAGTGAGGGGATCTCCTTCTTGGTAGTGAAGACCACCTGGACCTGGCAGTCCTCGCCCAGGAAGGTCAGGCACACCGAGTAGTTGGTGCCAGGGCTTAGGCCCTGGAACCAGTAGGAATTCACCCCTTCCTCAATCTTGGACCACTGCACCAAGGCATGACCCTGGGCACTCTCCTGGCACAGGTAGAGGACACGGAGGTGGACCTTCTCAGGCTGCCCATAAAAGGGTGTGAGCTGCACCTTGGCTTCACGCTCGGAGACATCCAATGCAATGACACCCAGGTCGAAGGTGTGCTGCTTGAAGTCCCCACTCTGGTTGAAGGCATGGTTGGAGACATACTGGGTAGCCTGGTGGGACCCACACTTCTTTTTGAAGTTTGGCAGCTGAAAGGGCACCTCCTCCTCCTCCTCCCCAGGACCCATCTGCACCTTCCCTGCTCCAGGGTGGCTTTGCCGTGTTGGGATCAGTGACTTGGTCTTCTCCTCAGGCTTGAGGATGCTGTTTTTGGCTCCCTTGGAGCTGGGCTTCCTGTCCCCAGGCAATGTTTTGCCTGTTGCAGGGTCACCCAGGGGGTGCAGTGGGTACTTCTGGGTACCTGCTACTGCTACATTGACAGAGGTCTGGTTGCTTCCAAGCTCATTGGTGGCCACACAAGTGTAGGTGCCTTCCTCACGCTTGCTTAGGTGTGGGATGACCAGGGTCCCATTCCCAAGGACTTGGAAGCGCTCCTTGGAGGCCCCAGCAGGGGGGAGCTGGTTCCCAGGTGCCCCTAGACTGGGGTTCGGGAGCTCCAGGGCTTGGCTGGAAGTCTGGATCCTCCAGCGGATCTCGGGTGGGGGGCTGCCTGCCACGCTGCACTGGAGGGTGAGCGTGAAGCCATCATAGAGCTCTGTGGTGTCCAGGTTGGGGTGGTAGGTCAACCTCACTGATGGGGCCACGCAGGCCAAGTCAGGGATTTTGCCCAGGGGCATCCCACGGAGGGGCTCAGGGGCAGCGCAGCTGATGGAGTCACGCTCAGGGATGGAGATGAGTGTGTTCTGGATCCAGGCCTTGAGCCAGAGCAGCGTACATGTGCAGTTGAATGGGTTGTTGTAGATCTGGAGGTGGGACAAGGAGCTGAGCGCATCAAAGGCGCCCTCAGCAATGGAGGCAAAGTGATTGTTGTTGATGCGAAGGGAGCGCAGGTCCTTAAGTGTTTGGAAGGCATCACTGGGCAGCTGGGCCATACGGTTGTTGTTCATCTTGAGCAGCTGCAGGGCACTGAGGTTATATAGGTCCTGCCAAGGGAAGTCCACGATCTGGTTGTGGCTGATGTCCAGGTTCTTGAGCTGCCCGAGGATGGCAAAGGTGCCTGGCTCAATGGTGCCGATCTCATTGTGTGCCAGCCACAGCGATGTGACCTGGGTGACCTCCACAAAGGAGCCCCGTTGCAATGCTGTGATCTTGTTGGCCGACAGGCTCAGTGTGGTCACATTGGAGGGCAGCCCTGCAGGCACCGCCTGTAGCTCCTTATAGGCACAGTCAGCAAACTGGTGTGCATACTTGTCCATGCAGGCACATGGCTCTGGGCAGCCCCAGCTCAGCCCCAGCAGCACCGCGAGGCTCAGGCAGAGCAACAGGGCCATGGTCCTCCTGCAAAGCAACAACACACACACTGGTGCTCAGGGCACCAAGCATGCCCTGCCCTGCCCCACCCCAGCAGACCCCACGGTCCAGCTCCTTGCTTAGGCCAGAGGGCACCGTCTCCACCCCAGCCAGAGCCCAGATCACAACCCTGCACCCAGCATGGACAGGCTTAGGGAGTTTCCTTCCTGCCTCCCGCCTTCCTTTGGCTCCCTGCCTGCTTTTCTGCCTTCCTTCCTTCCTCTCCACTTCTTCTCCTTCTTCCTCCCTTCCCGTTCCCCCTTCTTCTCTTGCCTTCTTCCCAACTTCCCCTCTCTCCTCCTCTTGTCCGTCCTTCTTCCTTTCTTTTTTCCCTCCATTTCTCCTCCCTCCCTCCTTTGGCTTCCCCTCTTTTCTCTCTTTCCTTCCTCCTGCCCCTCTCTTTTTCTCCACTTTTCCTTCCTTTGTTCCTCCCTTCCTCTGTTCCCCGCCCCTTACTTCTTTCGTCCCTTCTCTCTCCTCCTCGCCCCCTTTCCTCCTTCCCTCTTCTCTTCTCCTTCTTTCCTCCCCTCCTCGGTCCCCCCTCTTCTCTCTTTCCGTCTTGCTTGCCTCCTCCTCAACTTCCCCTCTCTCTCTTCTCTCCTTCCCTCCCGCCCCCGTAGCTGATGGCGCGGGCTTTCTAGTTGCCCTGCTGCCCCTTCACCCCCTCCTCTCCCCCCGGCCGCCTTCCCCGCACCGAGGCTGCTTACCCGGGCTGGGGAGAAGTTGCCTTTAACACTCGCAGCCGCCGCCGCCGTCACCCGCCTCCTCCCCATCCCGCCCCCGGAGCCGCGGGGAC